GCTTCCTACCGTTCCCACTGCCAGGCACAACCTTGCCCCGCACGATCTCCGCCTTATGATTCGCATTTCTATTAATAGTCGCCTGAATCGGCGAAGTAAAGCCAAGGATCTATCGAAGTAAAGGACTCGCGTCTCCCCGAAGGCGGTTCCGCGGCGAGGATTTATGACCGAGGATTTGTAGCCTTTAGGCCACTTTAGGCGGAACTTGAACGGCCGCAGAAATGCGGCAGAAGCATTGAATCACACACGGTAACATGATCGTGTGATTCTTCCTGCGTGCGAATAATCTGCAAGGATGAAAGAAACCCGTGGCGAGACGAAGATCGCCGATCGCCGTGGATTGATTATCCCGTCCCGAAACGTCGGGGAAGCGCGGGGGGTGCTTTGGAAAAATCGCAACCTGCAGGGGAAAGCCGTCCGTGACGGACGGAACGCGAGAATTTCGGCTAAAGAAGAGAAGGACCTCCGCACCTGCGAGTCGTGGAATGAATTTCGCCGATGTCTGCGCGTCGCCGCACAGCGGAGAAGCGCCGATTCGGAGGAAATTAATTTTCCGGGAACCGGGATCTCGCTCTCGCTTTCTCTTCCTCCCTGCCCCCCCCCTCGCCGCCGCCGGCGGCGCATCAGCGTTTTCGCGAAAAGCCCGTCGCGTCACGCGCAATTTGACTGCGTCGCTTATCTTCGCCGTGTAATCCCGCGGTCCCGCTTCGGCTTTATCTCCCGCGTTTCGTCGCATTTCCCGCGTGTCTCCGTGTGCGCCGCGGTCGCGAGCGCTGTGTACTAATCAGCGCCCAACTTGAAGTAATCTGCTGCCGGCGTGTCTCATATCAGTTTCTGCCTAGTCGGCAAAACACGAGGCGACCGTGTAGGAAAGGAGAAAATCCCGACTAGTTACAGGTCCCGCGCCCTTCTCTCTCCGCACGCGAAACGCTTCGGATTAATAATGCCGCCGCGGCCGCGGCCGCTGATGCGGGCTCTGAGAGCTCCGAACTGGCGCTCCGCGGACACCAGCATGATTTCAAGATGAAATTACGCCTCCCCGGAGACGGACGAGACTTTTTTTCCGGTTTACTCCTTCCGGGCCCGCATTTCCCTCCGACCGTCGTGACGTCGCAGAGACACGCAGGACTCCGCAGGAGTCGCCGAGCAAAACATTGCTAGGGCCATCCTCATGAAGAATAAGGCCCTGAATAAGGCTGAAAGTGGAATGCCCTAAAAAGGGATGATCATTGTTACCGCAGCAGGCCCCCTCCCCCTCCCCCCGATCTTTTAGGGATACCTTAGATCTTACGAAATAAGGCTTTGACAAGGGAAACTGATGAGGGCCTTAGAAAGGGCTTTGTTAGGGCTGCCTTAGATTTAATAAATAAAGCTTTGATAGGAAAAGCTGAGGAAGGTGTTGGCAAGATTTTTTGCGGGATGTCTTGGATTTTATCAAATGACGCTTTAAGATGGAAAAAACTGATTGATGTGGGCCTTAGAAGGATTTGTTAGAGGTGCTTTGGATTTAATAAATAACGCTTTGACGAGGGAAAACTGGATAAGGATCTTTTAAGGATGCCTTAGATGTTAAGAAATAAGGCTTTGATAGGGATATCGTAGAAATAACGCTTTAATATGGAAAACTGATGTGGGCCTTAGAAGGATTTTTTAAGGATTTAAGGATGCTTTAGATATACAAAATCAAATTCTGTTATATGCTCTATCTAGTTCTTTTAAAGATTTTTGAATTATATCGCAATTAAAAACAAATTTCATTAGTTTTACTAGTTGCCATATTCATTAGTCTTTTCCAAGGATTTTTGTATTGCCTTCGTTTTGAAGTGCAGCAAATTTTAACAAAAACAGTAGCAGGATTTTTATATACAGAAAATGCTATATTTTATTGTAAAGTATGCTATATTTTTAAAATAAAAAGTTGTATTAGGTGTACAACTTTGCCTCCACCGTTTTTTTTCCGAAATTCGAGGCTTTATTGTAAAAAACTGGTTATATATTTATGATTCAAAGTATTGTCCATCGCTGGCCACTACTTTCTCCCATCTTTGGGGCAGCGTACGAATCCCGCGTTGAAAAAACTGGTCATCTTTTGAAGCGGTCCACGAATCGATCCAATTTCTTACTTCTTCATAAGACCGGAAGTGCTGGTCCAACCAGGCCGTGTGCCATTGATCGAAACAAGTGATAGTCAGAGAGAGCAACGTCTGGAGAATACGGCGGGTGGGGTAGGACTTCCCATTTCAACGTTTCCAAGTATGTCTTGACCACTTTCGCAACATGGGGTCGAGCGTTGTCATGCTGCAAAATCACTTTATCGTGTCTCTCGTTGTATCGCGGCCGTTTGTCTTTCAATGCTCGGCTCAAACGCATTAATTGTTCGTTCGATAACGATCGCCTGTGATTGTTTCAGTCGGTTTTAACAGCTCATAATACACCACGTCGAGCTGGCCCCACCAAATACAGAGCGTGACCTTGGAGCCGTGAATATTCGACGGTTTGGCCGTCGACGTGGAAGCATGGCTGGGATATCCCCATGATTTTCTGCGCTTGGGATTATCGTAATGAACCCATTTTTCGTCCCCAGTCACAATGCGATGCAGAAATCCCTTCCGTCTTTGCCTTTCAAGCAACTGTTCACAAGCAAACAAACGCCGTTCAACATCTCTCGGTTTCAACTCGTACGGCACCCAATTTCCTTGCTTCTGAATCATTCCCGTGTCTTTGAGGCGTTTTGAAATTGCTTGTTGAGTCACTCCCAATGATCGTGCCAATTCTTCGCGACTTTGACACGAGTCTTCATTAAGTAATGCCTCCAATTCTGCATCTTCGAAAACCTTCTCTCTTCCACCGCTATGCCGGTCTTCGACGTGAAAATCTTCACCGTTCTTGAAGCGTTGAAACCACTCGTTCTTTCACTAATAGCGACCTCACCATAAGTATTTGAGAGCATTCGATGAGCCTCAGCCGCAGATTTCTTCATATTGAAGCAGAAGATTAAAACCTCCCGCAAATAACGAGAATTTGGCTCGTAAACTGACATTTTCAATCGAGAATAACTTTATGATGCAGACACAAATCGACTAATGTTTCTATGGGGTTATGTTGACAGATGCCCAAGTTTATTGCATGACGTCTATCACCTATTTATTTCGAGCACTGCTTACCGGCTAAAGCCATCTATAGGAAAACGGCGGAAGCAAAGTTGTACACCTAATATTAAAAATGTTGTATACTAACAAGATTATAAAGAAATAAAGAAATTACAGTCTAAATTTCTTAGAATGAAAAGAACGAATATCGCCTCATAAAACCCCCGTTACTTCCTTATAAAGCCCTATTAATATTGCTGTAGAAAGCCCTGTTGATGGACATGGCCTTGCAAGGCCCTCGTAACATCAGCTTGTAAGGACCCGTTAAATTATTTGTTACACATCTTGCAGGGCCCTTGTCTTTTTATCCCTACTAAGGTCCGATCATGTTAGGGAAAAATAATCAGAGCCTTGTTAATTTTTCCACTCGGAGTCTTACATACGCGACCGCGAGACTAATCGCTCGCTGCAAAGTTCGCTACGGAATTTATTTATCACCCTCCCGTCGCAACAATCCAGCCGCGCCGACAACCTCATGATGTTTCGCCGATATGCCGCTTGCCGCACGCGAGGCGCTCCGCGATACGCCCGTCACATCTGTAATTAATATGTCGGTCATACTCGCGGCTGACAGCGTCGCAGCGAGTACCGAGGGAAAATCGACCGTCTCGCACTCTCTCGGGAAAGTGAGTTCCGGCGGACTCACCGTAAATCCGCAAAGCTCAGCCTCGTCGAGACGCGATGTCAGCGATCTCCGCGACGCGCCGCGGTAACCGGCGATGCAGTTCATAATCCTTCGGCATGCAGGTATCGCGATCAATAATAGGCCACGACGAATAGATGGATATTAGGTACACGCAAAGACGGACAATAGCGGCTCGCACGCGCGCGCGCGCGCGCTCGGTCCGCTGTATATTGAGTATCTGATCCTGCAGCATGTAAAGCACAATCCGGGCAGGTATGGCGGATCATCGCGGATAATGCAGGCACGCGTCCGTCCTGTCGAGAAACGTCGCGCAGGCTACCTTGAGCCTGTGCAAGACGCTCCGCCGAGAGAGCGACACGAGAGAGAGAGAGAGAGAGGGCAAGCGAGGCTCTCTCTCTCTCTCTCTCTCTCTCGACGTACGCATCGCATTTGCGTGAGAGAGTTTGCGTAATTCCACGCGCGCGATGCGCCGGGAGATGTTTGCGTTTAACGGGAGGTCTACACCGGGCGACATTGCGCGCAATTTTGCAAACTGCCCGGAGACGTTCGATCGACGGGCGCGAAGTCGAGAGGCGGGAAAATTCTTGCTCCGCTCCTTTTCCGCCGTCCCGGAGACTCGCGGCCGCAAACCCGCAGCGGGCATCGTTGCCGCTGATTAAGTATATTGCGCGCGCGTTAATTAAACTTATACCGATTAAACCGCGACCTTCGCGCGTCTGGCTGCACCTGGTAACAGGCAACCACGCTCGCACGAACGTACCGCTCGTGTAATACTCGCTGGGGAAAAGCGCGCTATATCATTAGGCTCAACTCCCGGTATTAAGCCAATTCCCGTAATCGATCGAGTACACGCAGGTGAAGCAACAACGTCAGCTTGTAATCCCCCCTCGCCCTTCCTCCCCCCGTTAAAATTAATTCGAGTTCCACGCGCATATCCGCGTCTTCCTCCTCTCTCTCTCTCTCTCTGCCGCCCGGGCGAGGTCGGGGAACGGACTCGGCTCTCTGAGGGAATTCCGCGGCCGGCGAGTTCGCGGTCGCGAGGAGGAGACAGTGTCCTTAAACAGTGGCTTAAAAGCGGGCAACTGGGGCGAAATGAGGTGCGCGCGGGATATTAGCCGGCCGTATTAGCGGCTTGCATCGGCCCGGCTCGGCTCGGCCCGGCCCGGCGTTATCGATCACCTCGCGTCGCGGCGCCCGCAATGTTGTGCGTATAAACAGGATTACCGCGCGCGCTCCTCACGATATATCCCCGGAGACCATCCCGTGGATTTTCATAGAGCCATCTCTATGCAGATTGCGCTATCGCCGTTTGCGACGCCGATACTATACGCCAAGATGCGACGTGGCGCGGCTCCTCGGCCTCGGGGCGAAGGGGCGGGGGGCGGAGCGGGGAGCAGCCGAGCAAGTTTAATAAGATTAAGCGGCGGGAGTAGTACGTGCGAAGTTACCGCTCGACAATGTTGTAAGTTATGCATATTGATCGTCACTTTAGACGGGCTCGCCTCGGCCTGGCTCCATCGAAACTGCCGCACTTCGCTTATGAATACGTAGGATCTGCCTGCGCAACGCACGAATCACGAGATCCCTCTCTTTTCTCCCCCCCTCTCTCTCTCTCTCTCTCTCTCTCTCTCTCTCTCTCTGTCGTTCTCGTCGGTCGGTCGAGGAGGAACTGCGCCGCTAACTGTGTGTTGTTTGCAGACGGATTTCTTGGAAATAGGAATAGAGCGGGAGATGCAATGTCTATCGGGAGTCTCCAAGTTGACGTACGCCGAGTCATTGTAAATCAAGTATACGCCGTCTAGAGAAGCACTTGTCACTTTGTCATTAGTTCGTGCTTATCTTCCGGTCGCGGTAGTGTTGAACAATCGAGATAAGAGCGGGAATACGTTGTATCGCGTAAGAATAATTTCCACGCTCTCTCGGGAGCGTGCTTACTCAACTGTTTATTCAGCACGAGCGATTGTTTCGTTACACACATGTAATATTTCACATGACTAAAGATTGACTCAACTAGTTTAGAGGTATTGCAGACCAGCAGCGAAATTAGATTATTTTCGGGAAGTGAATTTTGCGCGACAATTACGCTGATGTGTGCGTCGAATTGATGATGCTTCGCAGCACGAAGCGCATGCGCATCAACAATCGCCGGTAATAATCGAGCGCCGAGTATTGCGGCGTTTATTGCGTGAGAAAAATGCCAGCCGAGCAACCCAGGCAGAGCAAAGATCGTGATGACAACAAAATGGCTGACGGGCATGATGACCAAATTATGATGAGAAAATTAGTTTTCCTCATCACTTTGACGTCATTCTGATGTCATCGTGATTTTCCGTTCTGTTCCTGGGAATATCCATGAACGATTCTGCGGATTTTCACGAATGGAAGAACGCAGCAGCGTAGAGGCTAATCGAGCTTGAAATCCAAAGTGTCGAGTTTAACGTCAAAAGTATCGATGCCGAAAGTGTCGAAATCGTAAGTCATTTCTGCTGGCGTCGCTAGCTCTTCATTGCTCGGCGGCCAAATCAGTTTATTCCACTCGTCGATCTTCGCTCCGAATATCTGCATGGCGCGCCGCTCGATGTGCGCCAGGACGTCTTTCTTGAAGATCGTCGTGACCGCCTTGGTCGCCAGGTTCAAGATGGAATCCAAGATGTGACCCTCGAATTTGATGTCATATTTCCTGCAAAACGTGAAGCGCTTAACGACGAGCGAACTGCACGAACACTCGCGTCGGCGCGGCGGTGGCACTCCGTAAAATCGTAAATTATAAATTAGCACGCGATTAAGCGCGCACATAAAACTCGCGTGTTGAAATTCCCGGCTAAACATTTCCAGCTTGATATTACGCCGTAGCATGCCGCGCGCCACGAGTAAAAGTGAAATGCCCGACTCGCGCGGGCGCGAGAGCTAACGAACGCGAGACTGGAAAATCAGGAAGGTGCGCTTTGTTAGCGCGATGGCAGATAAAATCTGACAAACATTTTTCTACACGGTGCCGATTACACGCGCCCGCTCGCGAGAGAGACGATTAGCTCGCAGTTATCGGCTTATAATTTCAGATACCGGCTCGCGCGATCGTTATCGTCGCAGTCGTTTCGCTACCGTGAATCTGCCGCGCAACTACGCAGATTTATCCTCGTGATGAAAACAATTGGTCGCGCGTTATCGCCCGTCGAACATCACTCGCGATATCGAAAGCTGATCAATATTTCTAGCGCTCCCCCCCCCTCCCTCTCTCTCTCTCTCTCTCTCTCTCTCTCTCTCTCTCTCTGTGTGTGTCTCTGTCTCTCCGCATGATCGCACGATCGTCTTTATGCGCGCATTCGAATCCGCGCAGAAAATGTAAAGAGGAACGATATTTACCCGACTACGACAAACTTGATCGAGTTGAGAGAGATGTAACGCTCGGCAAAATCGATCGTCAGCACGACTTTGAGCTTGAGTCTGTAGAAACGACCGTAAATGTCGCCCTGTCTACTGAACAGCATGTACTGTATATCGTACTGGTAGTTGAACTGTGAAAATTATAACGGGAGGTTAAATATCTCTCGCGTCTGTATTGGCTCTGCTAATTAGCGCAGCTGCATGGCCGCGTTCGATTAGCGCAACGCGGCATCACAGCCGGCTCGTTCTTACGTCCAAAACGTCGAATCCCAGGTCCATGTCGAGCGTCAGCTTTTGTTCGCTGTATCTTGCGACCACGTGGTCGGCGCGTTTCAACTTCGACAAATTCTGCAGCCAGCCGCTCTTCAGGTCGATGTGTCCTCCGAGTATACCAGGCTAAGAAACAAGTTGGACCGAGATAACGATGACGACAATTACAAATATAACGAGATAGATATTTCCGTATCCTACACGTGAGTATGGATACATCTTATGCCGTCTTATGCCAATGAAATCATCGCTTAGGGGAACGCACCAGGTTCGGCAAAAGACGGTCGGAGACATCGGCGAGCTCCATTGGGTCCATGCCATGTTCCAAGATGAATGCTTGCAACTGTGGCAACAGGCGGTCAAACGCCTTATCCAAGATAGCGGTATGTTCTACCGTGTAAACGGAGAGACTGCGGAGGGAACACACAGAAATGCACATCCTTTCAACGTCTCGCTTACGCTTACGCTTACTAAGCGGCTGGAGCGAAATTAAATTATAAATTATAAATTATTAGGAGGTTGAATTAATTCTGGTCCCTAGCAATAGATGGCTTTAGTGGCTTTAGTGGCAGGTTAATGGTTAGTGGGAATGTTGGGAAATCTGGCAACACTGAAAGTGACTTGACATCTCTCTATGACATGTGACAGTTTGCGCGCTATTGCTACTGATAGTTTCATTGTTTATACGCGTCTAAAATGGATCTAAAATGGATACAAAATTGCATTTTCGACATTCATTACTTTTTTTATTTGATTGGAAAAAATCGGCAACTGAAGCTCATAAAATGCTTGTCACAACTTATGGTGATTGTAGTTTTCAACTGTAAATTTTGGTTTCAATCATTCAAAAGTAGTGATTTCAATTTTAGCGACAAAGAACGTATTGGTTAACCAAAAACAATTCGAAGATTCTGGTTTGCAAGTATTATTGAATAAAAACACTACTCAAACGGAAAAAACAATTGGTTGAATAACTCAACGTCGATAAATCAACAATTTCTAAACGCTTACCAACACGCCAACGGCAAAAAATGTGAAAAAAAGGCGAATTGATTCCACACGAATTGAGTGAAAGTGCCATCGCAAATCGTTCGAATATCTGCCATGTCTGCTTGCCAGATAGAAAAAAAGTTTTCATGGTGAATTGCAACTGGAGATGAAATGTGGATTTATTTTGATAATCCAAAGCGAAAAAATTCATAGGTTGATCCAGGCCATCCAATCATCAACATCAAACCAAAACGAGACATTTATGGTTAGAAAGCAATTTGCTTTCTATTTGTATTTGCTGGGATGTGGAAGATGTGGCGTGTTATGAGCTTCCGAATGAAACCGAATGAAACAGTTACGGGGGAGCGATACCAGCAGCAATTGAACAAATTGAATGATGAATTGATGAAGAAAAGGCTAACGATAGCCAGCAATAGATGAGATGATTACGCAAAGTGATTCTTTTGCACGATAATGCTCGTCCACATGTTATTTTAATCGTTAAACAAACATTGTTAGAGCTCGAATGGGAGATCTCCTTCTGCACCCAGCGTACTCTTCACACCTAGCGTCATCTGATTATCATCCATTCCGATCGACGCTTTGGCGAATATGCCAAGTTTTCCAAAAGTAACAGACCCCCCATCCTATCTCAGAATCTATGCATTATAGGGAAAAATGACCCGAAAAGAAGTTTTAGGGTTTGTAAAGTTCTGTTTCTCTGTGACCACAAATTTGTCGTTGACCTCGACTTTGAAGGTCAACTTGCGTTTTTTAAATGGCAACCCCTATTTTTTATTGCACTGTTTTTTTCCACCAATTAATTTGAACAACTTTTGTCCAAAACATTTTTTTATTTGCCTAATATTTTTTTAGATATTTGAGAAAAACTTGATGACTTTTTCAATATTTAACTTACGATATCTCGCTAACTATTCGTCGGAAGAAAAAGTGGTGGGACGAGACTTCCTTGCTTTATTTAGTCTCAAGAATATATTGTTACAATAGTGCTCTGATCTTTGTTAATGTGATGATTTTGAAATTTCCAAAAGTCAGTAAGTTAACAAAAGTCTGGGCGCTATTGTAACAATATATTCTTGAGACTAAATAAAGCAAGAAAGTCTAGTGCTATTTTTTCTTCCGACGAATAGTTAGCGAGATATCGTAAGTTAAATATTGAAATAGTCATCAAGTTTTCCTGAAATGTCTCAAAAAATATTAGGTAAATAAAAAGATGTCTTAGACAAAAGTTGTTCAAATTAATTGGTAGAAAAAACAGTATAATAAGAAATAGGGGGTTCCCATTTAAAAAATGCAAGTTGACTTTCAAATGACCTTCAAGGTTGAGATCAAGGTCAAATTTGAGGTCACAAAAACAAAACTTCCCTAAACCCTAAAACTTTTGTCGAGTCATTTTTCCCTATAATGCATAGATTCTGAGATAGGGGGATCCGTTACTTTTGGAAAACTTGGTATATACTTCAATAATTACAAGGACGTGCAAAAATGGGAATTGAATTGCTTCGAGAGACAAATCGTTCTATCGTCGCGGAATCGTCATGTTGCCAAAATGGTGGGAAGGAGTCGCAGCTAACGACGGAAAATATTTTGATTGATGTAAATTTAACCATTTCTTTAAAATAAAGATAAAAAGATTGACATAATAAAATCCGAATTAATTCAACCTTCTAATACAAAGTAAATAATCTTCGTAAATATACCATTCGCGACATTAATGACGCGCGATGTTTTCGAAGATTCGTGGTTGAAAACAACGCGGAGATTCAGTTGGGCTTTAGAAGAGACCAAACAATGGCATGAAGATAATGTAAAATCGTGACTGTCAGAGGATTACGAGATGAATCCCGCTTGATAACGTTCTGATTGAACGAAGATGTCGGCTTTATCCGAGAATAAGAGATATGGCGAAATATCTCGCCTCGACATTTCTACACGACTCAAAAATTTGCTTAATTAACTATCAGCATATAGACTTACAGGCCTTGCTTGTCTGAGAAAGACGCAGCATCGCTGCGCGCAAACACCGCGATCACCAGCACGAGAGCTAATTGCACCTGGCCGACCATGATTGTACTGACACTGGAATTACGATTGGTCAGGTAGTCTCCTCAAGTTTTATTGCCATCGAATCTCGTCTTATCAGCAATCTTTGTTCGATAACATATTACTGATGGATAAAAGCGACAAATCTATTTGAAAAAGATATCTCATAGGAAAGGTTCTTGTGACTTATTGTCTTTATTCGTCTTATTTTTATTTTCATATCAAATACACGAAACCACGAAGAAAATATGTTTACCGTACGGTCGTCGGGTCAGTGAGAAGATCAATTTCCAATTTTGAAGACGTCGCAGATGCATGTCGAGATAACAATGCTGATAATGTTCCGCTGACAAAACGTCGAAAAAATATCGCAAATAAGATTGCGATACTACTTGATTGACGAACAATTTATATCACCAGAAATTGCGAAATTAAATTAAGGTTAAATTTGTCCTACGAACCCGAGCTTCTCGTCAAACCCAACATATGTTAACAACAGAATAGAAAGAAATATAAGCAGACGCAACTTCAACGGTTCAACAGTGCAATATATATATATATATATTTATAAAACAAAACAAGATTTACAGAATTAGATAAACAACAAGCTGATAAACCAGAAGCTTTACATTACATTACATAAATCACATTGCGAGCGTATAACGAGACCATATTTTTCTAAAATCTAAGGAACACCTAAGGAAAACAACATCGAATTGCGAAACAAGAATGTGTGACGCGATAACGCTTGTCCGAGATCTTCGATATGAAGCACGAGGAGCGCGATAGTGTTCCTTAATATTTTTCTCAAATGTCAAACAAAGAGACGTGATATCGCTCGTTGGCGCTCAAACGATCGGCGTGTGCAATGTCTGTTGCAGCAATCAATAGTGCCCGAATAATATATCCTGGAAGAATCGAAACTTCATTTCGGGTGACGTATTACGATTTATTTCGCTCACGTATTGTCCGATTATTTCCGTCACCCTCGTCTCCAACGTTTGCGCAATTTTGTTCTTATTGAGTGTAGCGAAAATGTCGGCGATCAGAGAGAGTACGAAATGTCTCCATCCGGTCTTATCTTGAATAATCACGTTCTCGAAGCTGCAATAATACAGGAATTAAGCTCATGGGAAAGATCTCGTCACGCGACTGACGAGCACAGATTTATCGCGGTGAACTGTAAGCCCCGATACTTGGCTGAAAATTATTGAAAATTACTCGAAAGGCTGCAATCGGAACTTGTCGAGAGTCAGCATGTAATCCGTCGTGTTGAACGAGACGATGGTACTGGCGCGTACTTGCTTAGCATCGGCCGTGGCCATACCTTCGGGATGGAGGATCCGCAATTTCAGGTCGTACTTGTACGCTATCTGTGTGGCCGGAAAGAGAGAGAGAGAGAGAGAGAGAGAGAGAGATTATTCGCGTGACAACGCGAAACAACGCGTGCAATGACAGCTATCTTATTCGCCACTTCATCGTTGTTTTATCGAGAAGGTAAAGATCGAGAGCGAAGTTCATCTGTAATTACCGCAAACAATGGGAATTCGGTGTCGATCGCCAGCGTGATCATCCTGTTCTCGTAAGTCAAGGTAGCGTCGGTGAACCTCAGCTGAGATAAACCTTTGAGTTCTCCCGAGTGCAGAATGAGGTTGGCTTTGTACGAGATTAGCGGGATGCCCGGGAACGGCTAAGTGGTGCAACATTAATAACAGTGTCGAGACATCGCGTACATACAGGGTGAGGGAAAAAGATGGAAACCTTTAAAAATCTCGAAAGATATATAAGTTTTATGGAAAAGTGTTTCAGACCAGAGTTATAAGGCTCAAAACGATGTGTTTACTGATCTTATCAGTTTGACTTTGAGTGGCGTTGCCAAGGTCAGGTCAAAGTTAACTTATTTTTTTTTTAAACAGAAACTCCCATTTTTTATTACATAATCTTTTCTACGAATTAACTTGAACAACTCTTGTCTGAAACATTTTTTTATTTACCCAATATGTTTCGAGATATTTAAGGAAAACTTGATGACTTTTTCAATACTCAACTTACGATATCTCGCTAACTATTTTTGTCAGAAGAAAAAAACTGGTACTAGACCTTTTTACTCTATTTGGTCTCAAGAACATACTGTTGTGTAATAGTTCCCTAACTTTTGTTAACTTATTGACTTTTGGAAATTTCAAAATCATCAAATTAACAAAAGTCAGGGTACTATTGTAACAATATATTTTTGAGACCAAGTAGAATGAAAAAGTCTAATAGCATTTTCTCTCTCCGACAAATAGTTGGCGAGTAAGTTAAATATTAAAATAGTTTCCGAGTTTTCCTTAAATATCTCAGAAAATATTAAGCAAATAGAAAAGTGTTTCAGACAACAGTTGTTCAAATTAATTGGCAGAAAAAGTGTAATATAATAAAAAATTGGGGTTTCTGTTTAAAAAAAAAAATAAGTTGACCTTGACCTGACCTTGGCAACGCCACTCAAGGTCAAACTGATAAGATCAATAAATATATCGTTTTGAACCTTATAACTTTTGTCCGAAACACTTTTCCAAAACTTATATCCTTCGAGATTTTTAAAGGTTTCCATCTTTTTTCCTCAGTCTGTAGATACTGCAGAAATTGAGTATACTAAGGAGGGGCCAATTAAGTTCAGTAACTTCGTTACTGAAACCACCACCGATGTTAGAGTTAAACTCTAACTTCGCGAACGATGAAGGTGGAACTTTGTTGGCGACCGAATTCGCGATGGTTTGACGACGCGTGTTGGGTCGTTTCGCGCAAATTTGAACAAAATCTTCCACCCCATTACGTGCGTTCACGTTGATGCATCTCGGGCTACTTGAGAGGGTTCCCCCTGTTGAAACTTCACAACTTCCGCGCCGCAATTATGTCACCGGCAGCATCACGACACATTATAACCTCGTCTCGTCTTAATTATACCACATTAATTAGACTCGATCGTGTTCTGCGCAGCATGTGCGCGTTCGATATAGCGCTGCGTATCAAAGTACAAGTTCGAAAATGAAATACGATATCGCGTGTTATCAGCACAATCGGTACGCAATGTATGCAGAAAAGGAGTTCCCATCGGAGTTCCAATCAAATGCGGAATCGAGACCGGTCAACAATTTGATAAAACGTACAGAATTTTGCGGTCGCTCGTCGTGTCCGCCTAATCTCCATGCGAAGCAACGATGCATGTCTCATCTGAAATGCTTTCTCAAACATTCTCCACACACTTGGGATCTCCTCGCGTGATCGCAGCGATCAATAACGATCTCGCCCGCGTCTGAAGCAAAAAGTAACAATTCCGACCGTCGTCAAAGGACCAACGCGAAATTGCGCACACCGGAAGCATTGATGAAGCAATGAAAAAGTGGCCTCATAACGGGTCTGCTTCTTTTCGAAGAACTTCTGAACTAGTGCAATAAGTTAAAGTGAGAGAAAAAACAGCTGTTTCACTTTAACTTATTGCACTAGTTCAGAACTTCTCCGAAGAAGAACAGACCTATAGGGTCTGTCCTTTTCAGCTGAACTAGCGCTATACTTGTATTTCTTTTTAATTGTACCGGTTCAGAACTGGAACTGACGAGTACGAGCGAAAGTTCAAAGTTCATAGATGCAGAAATGCCAGATAGAATAGAAAAGAATGTCACAGTGCAGGGAACGCAACACGCAGTATTGCGGCTGTTAATGATTCTTCAGACGAAGATTTTATTTAACCTTCATGTACCTCTGTTATACACATAGAACCTGTCTATCGATGAAGAACATGATGGTGATATACTATTATTTTATAATTGGCATAGTTGATTAATATTAGGAAGTTGAATTAGTTCTGGTCCGTAGCAATAGCTAAACTTCAATAACAAGTTAATGGTTAGTACGAATGTTGAAATTTGGCAACACACATTAAAAGAAAGATTTGACATTTCTCCATGACATGATATGACAGTTTGCACGCCATTGGCTTACTGATAGTCTTATTGTTTATACGGGTCTAAAATGGATCGTACAAAATTGCATCTCCGACATTCATCATTTTTTTGTTTGATTTGAAAAAATTGGCAACTGAAGCTCATGAAATGCTTGTTGCAACTTATAGCGATCAAGCCTCCATCGTATTCCAACTAAATTTTCGTAAATTTCGGTTTCAACGACTCAAAAGCGGTGATTTTAATTTGAGTGACAAAGAACGTACTGGTCAAGCAAAAAATTCAAAGATTCTGAGTTGCAAGCATTATCGAATGAAAACACCGCTTAAATGGAGAAACAATTGGCTGAACGCTCAACGTCGATAAATTGACAATTTCTAAACGCCTACACGCCATGGGAAAGATTCAAAAGGAAGGCAAATTGGTTCCATATGAATTGAGTGAAAGTGCCATTGCAAATCATTTGAATATCACTGCGTCTTTGCTTGCCAGACAGAAAAGAAGAGTTTTTTGTGGCAAAAATTTAATTGCAGATGAAAAGTGGATTTTTATTTTGATAATTCAAAGCGAAAGATCATGGGCTGATCCAGGACAACCATCAACATCGACACGAACAAAACGGAACATTCACGGTCACAAAGCAACGCTCTGTATTTGGAAGGTGTGATGTAAAAGCGTCGGTTCGGTTTTGGAAGCCGTGAGCTTCCAAAACCGAATGAAACAGTTCAGGGGGAGCGATACCAGCAACAACAATTGAATAAATCGAATGATGAATTGATGTAAAAGAGGCCAGCGATAGACGCAAAGTAATTCTTTTGCACGATAATGCTCGTCCACATGTTGCTTCAACCGTTAAACAAACATTGTTTGAGAGCTCGAATGAGAAATCCTCCCGCACTTAGCGTACTCTCCAAACCTAGCGCCATCTAATTACTATTTATTTATTCCGATCGACGCTTTGGTGAATATACATTTCAATAATTACAAGGACGTGCAAAAATGGGGATTGGATCACTTCGAGAGACAAATCGTTCTATCGTCGCGGAATCGCTATGTCGCCAGAAAGATGCGAAAAAGTCGCAGCTAACGACGGAAAATATTTTGGTTGATGCAAATTTAACCATTTCTTTAAAATAAAGATAAAAAATTGATAAAATATGACCAGAATTAATTGAACCTCCTGATACAAAGCATAATCTTCGCAAATACACCATTCGCAACATTAATGATGCTCTCGCGATGTTTTCTAAAATTCGTAGTTGAAAACAACGCGGAGATTTAGTTGGGAGATTCAGATGAGACCGAACAAGAATGGCAGAGAGATAATGTAAAATCGCGACTGTCAGAGAATTACGAGATGAATCCCTCTTCTGATTGAACGTGCTGATTGACGAAGATGCTGGATTTATGGTATAAATTTTACCCTCGCAATGTACTGAACTGTTTGCACGTACCATCTCCAGACTTAGTGCAAGCAATATGGTGAATTGTTGCCAAGTTGCACTGCTGGAAAGAACAGTAACATCTGACGTCATTTCTGCCAGAAAGGATACTTCAGGGGATACACTTGAATTAATGCAGAAAGTTCAGCTGGAAAGAACGAACCTAAAGTCTGTTCTCTTTCGAAGAACTTCTGAACTAGCGCGACAAGTTAGAGTGAAAGAGAGAGAGAGAGAGAGAGAGAGAGAGAGAGAGATGTATTCTCTCACTCTAACTTACTGCACTGGTTCAGAAGTTCTTCGAAAAAGAACAGACGTCTAATGTTCAGGAAGCGCAGAGATATCCTGCGCTTTTAGCCGCCCATCTCTCTCCTTTCTCTCCATCGAGAGACCTGAGCCGGGAACAATAGCGGCGCATGCTCAGAGCTAAGTTAACCTTTATGATGGGACTTGGCGAACTTCCTACTAATCGCTAAACCCGCAGCGTGCAGCAAACAAATATAACAGCACTGCATATCGCAGAGTAACAGTTGACTAACGCGAGTCGCACAATCGATCTTCTCGATTGGAAATGCTCTCGAGGTCTCCCTCCCTGCCCGATTTCACTCAATTCTACGACGTTATCGTGAGAAAGCAAGTAGCCCGAGTCTGCCTAAGCGTTTCGTGCTCGTTGAACGTGCCACTGAACTTGAACTCGCCTCCTACGAGCGGGTGAAACGCCGTTTTCACTCTCGCTCCAAGTTCAAAGCTGTCGCGCGCGCGCGCGCGCGCGCGCGCGTCGGCCTTGGCGAGCGTCAAAAATGGGATCGCGGCGAAAACCTCGCCGCGCGGCGAGACCTCGGCGCCTGACCGTGATTCAACGCGGCCCAAGGTTCGCCGGCAGGAAAGTGTCATCCCCGGTTTCACTTTCGCTCTCGTCCAAGGCCCAACTCGTCGATTTCGCTCTCTACGGCCCCGAGAGCGAGTACGGCGGCTTTCGCCGCCGCGACCCGCTGACCTCGAATCCCCGCTTTCGACCCCGAATGCCAGCTTTCTCCCGATTTTCGCGACAACCTGCCGCCTGGCGGCCGCGCCGCGGCCGATTACGAGCGAGCGCGCCGCGTTTACCGTAACAACGACTCTCTCGAGCTCGCGCGTTACGTAAACGACCAGTTTCTCGTTGTCGGGGCACCATCGCCGTTGGGATCCTGCTTGGCCGGCTTGGATTAGTGCTTATTTGCCAGGTTTCTTCTTTTATCTCACTCGTCGTGACCGAATATACTCGTCCTCGGGGTAGATGGTAATGGCGCGTCGCACAGTGGGACCAGATGACATTTTTCGGGGCTCAAAATTCTCTAGAGACCTCGAGAGAACTGCCAGCTGATCATCGACACCAATCGATGAGGTTGATCCTGAATAAAGAGATCCAGAGAGATCTGTCCAGCCGAAATTTTGAAAAAATTATCGGTTCAGGGTTCGTGGGTTTAGAGGGTTTGTCTTCAAAGTTTCGAGGCTCGAACTTAATGTTTTATAGCCGAGAATATTCAACGTCGAGTATTATTAGGTTCTCGAGCTATGACTAGATTGGACTAGTTCTTGGACTATTAATTTGGAGCTCTTAATATATACGGCTTCATGCATCCACGAGCTAAAAACGAGCTCTCGGATTGACAGATTTCTAGGTTGATGGGCTTAAGACTCGAAATCTCTCGTTTCCGTTTTGTGCGGGTCTATATTTGATGTTTTCGTATTTTGGGCATATGAGTTTTGAGTTAATGGGTTTCTGCTTCAAAATCGATAAATCTCTCGAGGTGTCTGTTGATTGGTTTCATAGTTTCAATCCGCTGAATACGCTATTAGATAGAAATAAGTATCGAATAATGAGTATTTCACAAGTTTCTCGCGTCTAACGATAATTTTTCCCCTTTTGGGACTAGTAATTCGAGAACAAAATTCTTTTTTTAATTTTGGCAAGACAGATCTCTTTGGAATTTATTCAGGATCAACCCCTCATCCATTGGTGTCGATGATCGCTTAGAAATGCAGGTCTCTAGAGAATTTTGAACCAAAAAAATATCATCTGTGGGTCCGTTGTTTTCAGATTTCAAGATCACCAGGTGTGAAGTTCCCGCGATTGCGAAACTAAGCTTGCTCGCGAGAGCGTTACGTACCACCCAAAATTCTCTCTGAATATTGTCGAGTGAATACGGGTCCAGGTTGTTCTCGATGATGCGCTGCGAGAGCCATGGGATCAAGTCTTCCAGGGCTTTACGTACGTTAACGTACGTTCTCAAGTCCTCGGGCAGGATGTTGTTCCTGCGGAATTGCTCAAAAAGTTTACCACCTCGGGTATCAGAGTAACGTAAGAGTGAAACCCGACAAGATATACCAAGGTGCCAAGGGAGAGGCGTCGTTTACTTACGGGACATCCGGAGTTTCCGCGGAAACCAGAGCAACGAGCGTAAAGACTATGTAAATGAGCTTCATGGCGATCGCGATGAGACTATGTCTCCCTCGAGTAACGTCGTTCTTATAAATCCCGGAGAGATACGGAATGAGTAAGTTGTCGAGTTTAACTCGTGAATCTCTTTGTAATCTCGTTAATGTCATTAATTTATCGCCGACTACCGCGAAGCGAGACACTTTTCGATCAAGCGTACTTCATCGCGCTTAATGTGGCTTAATGAGCAAAGGAAGAGTATATACCAACGAATGAAAACAAAAGGAGTGCCAGCGTAGAAGATGACACATGATGTATACACATGACGAAATGCGTGCTTGATAAGAAAGAACTGAGAAATCGCGTGCGCTAATATTCTCGTCAAACGATCTGAAATGTCCTTCTATTATCGTGACATCAACACCTGCCGGCACCGTCGCACCGCTACAGGAAGAGCCTATTAATAGACTTCCTGGCGGCATAAAAATGTTCACAATAAATAAAGGGTACTGCAGAAGTTTTGACGAGTTTCCTCAAAGATCTCGTGACTAATTCAGTTTCACAGCAGCGCTCTTGCAAATATGTACTAAGAAAAAAGGTTTTGTTGGGTTACTGGGGAAACACCAGTAACCGCAACAAAATGGTTTGTTAATGCGGCAAATGACTCCGTAGTGGTGACAAATGATTTGTTACTCGTGATTTGTTATTCTAACCAACAATTTTTATGGGAACAGATGGTATTTTGTTATGTCAATCCAACAAATCAAAAATCTTCGATTCGTTGGCAATACAGAATATGAGCAAAGGTTAGAAATTATTGGGTGAGTGCAAAAGTTCGTGCGGAGTTTCAATAGATGGAGTTATAAGCGTCGTAAAGTGTTGTCATTAATACTTCCATCTACATATTATATAACGTTGGAAAGGTGACGTCTTCAGCTGTTATTAAAAAAAAAATCATTTGTTTTCATACAAACTGCTTCGAGAAATATCACTTTAAAAATGAGTATCGATAAGGTGCATTTACGGCATGTTATGCTTTACGAGTTTCGGAAGGGAATAAACGTTGCCGCAGCCGTAAAAAACATTCAGGATGTTTGTCAGGATGAAGCACCAGCTAAACGAACTGTGGAAAAATGGCTTGCTAAATTTCGGCGCGGAGAATTTAACCTTGAAGACGAGCCACGCTCTGGTCGACCTTCTGACATTGATGACGATGTTTTGCGTACTTTAGTGCTCAATAATCCGCGAATTTCAACAGAAGAAGTTGCTACAGCACTAAACGTTGACCGATCAACCGCTTTTCGGCGTTTAAAAAAGATGGGATTCGATTTGAAGCTCGATATATGGGTGCCCCATTTGCTGACCGAGAAGAACAAAATCAAGCGAATTTCTGCAGCCGTTTCTTTACTCGGGCGGCTCAATAACGAGTCGTTTTTGGATCGACTAGTGACGGGCGATGAGAAATGGGTCCTCTACAACAATGTTCAGCGCAAACGGACATGGAAACAATCAGGTGAGCATGGTGACGCAATGCCAAAGGCCAGTTTGCACCCGATGAAGGTGATGCTCTCTGTTTGGTGGGATTGCAAAGGCATAATCTATTTCGAGCTTCTCCCCGCTGGCGAAACGATTGATTCGGACAAGTACTGTCGCCAATTAACCAATCTGAATCGAGAAATAAAAGAGAAACGTCCGATTTTGTCAAATCGCAAGGGAGTCGTCTTTCATCACGACAACGCCAGACCACACGTTTCGAAAAAGACGCTGCGCAAACTGAAGAGCCTGAAATGGGATGTCTTAACGCATCCACCGTATTCTCCTGATATCGCACCATCTGACTATCACTTGTTCCGGTCATTGCAAAATTATTTAAATGGAAAAAACTTTGACTCTTTGGAGGCCTTAAAAAACGGCGTCTCTTCGTTCTTCGAATCTAAACCGCGCAGTTTTTATGATCGAGGCATCCGTATGCTGCCAGAACGTTGGGAAAAGATTATAGAAAACGATGGAGAATATATCATTGATTGAATAAAGATTTTTGTTTGCCTAATCACTGTGTGACTTTTACTCACAAACTCCGCACGAACTTTTGCACTCACCCAATATGTATAAGTAAATCGGTCGTATTAACTTTTGCTCACCAACGTACAATATACGGCAAAATGCATAAAATACTTGATGAAAAAACACATGCGATGCTGCATTAGCGCGCATTATTACCGGATAATTCAAATATAGCTCTGTTACATCCAATCAAACATTGGTAACAAGAGAGATCAACAAAATAATAATTCTGTGCATGTGTTTTGCAGGATACAGAAAAGAAACCGAGCAATGCATTATTACATTAATCTTTATTTTTAGCACATGTTATATAAAATTAATAAACCATCACGTAAGGTTAAGTAAGATCAAGTGGGATACACATGCAAAGGCTTGTACTATAAACAAATTTTTATCAATAAGAAAGTCTGTAAAAATGGTGCCTAGTTACTTAAAAAAGTTTACAAATCATTTTAAGAGATGCTTTTATCTATACATGCACTGAGGAAAAAGGTTTTGTTGGGTTAACAAAACGTCAGTAACTTATGATTTGTTGCTCTATCTTATATCCAATCAAACATTGGTAGAGAAGAGTCAACAAAATAATAATTCTGTGTGTTTTGCAGAAATTTGGGAAAAAAATAGAGCAAAGCATTATTATATTAATGTTTATTTTTAGGACGACACATTGTATAAAATATTATATAAAATTAATAAATTATTAAATGAGGTTAAATAAGGTTAAGGATATACGTATACAAAGGCTCGTATTGTAAACATACTTTTATCAGTAAAAAGGTCTGTAAAAGAGTGATTCGTAGCTATTTAGAAAAGTTTGTAAATCATTTTCAGAGATGTTTTTATCTATATATGTATGAGTAGAGTTTTTATCTATATATGAGAAAATATAAACCACAAAAGAGTCACGTATATGTATATATTAAGCTATTACGACGTTGCTATTCCTTTTATTAGAAGTTGTACATCCAACAAACACATTTGCATTTCTAGCAATGTATATTTACAAATAATGAAAAATGATTCGTTGCGGTAAAACTGTTTGATTTGTCGTACAATTATCAAACAGCAAACATTCATTTGTTGTGACAACAGAAGTCTTTTTCTCAGTGTCTAAGTGCGTATAATATATTATATATCGAGAAAGTTACACTTTTGATTACTTGGCGGCATAAGCGCCGACTTAGGGGGGGGGACAGAACACTTTTGGTCCTCCCAATAATTTTACTCTCTTTACTGGTTATTTAACAATCACAAATAATACAAATGAAAAAATATTACACATGCCTTACTCTATTCAGAGTTGAATAGTTATTGCTTGTCAATGCATGAGCTCAATTTCAACATGAAATTGTGAAATATTTTGGTTCGGATGTTGATATGTTGTGTGACATTCTACGAAAGAAAAGTTCAAGCTTGGACGCGAAATCAATGACAAATTTTGGTGATATAGTTCGTTTACTACAATAAAAACGACATATAGCAGAGTTGCTACCAGAATTGGTAAAATTTATAAAATTAATTTTGACAATCCCTGTAACTACGTGTACAGCGGAACGGTCTTTCTCTTCCTTAAGGAGATTACTAACTTATTTACGGAGTAAAATGACTCAATATCGTTTAAATTCTTTAAGTATTTTATACGTACATAAGGAAGAAGCTATGAAATTAGATTTAAATACTATTGCTAACGAATTTATTAATCAAAATGAAATCCGTCACGCGAATTTTTTACGATTATAAAATAAGTTAATAAACTTTCTTTCTTGATTTTGTGCATTAAATATTTTGCTTGTATATGCAAGTATGTAAGGTGTTAAAAGTTAAGTTCAACGCTCTCGCATACTTATAAATTGAATCATTTTGTCCATCAAAAGTCCTTTATCATTTTGTAAACAACAACGCAAAATGGTAAGATAATATTTATTTTTTAATCCAAAATGTTCTAATTTATAAGTTAAGTTAACTTTTAACATCCTGTATAACCCACATACTTCTAAATACTTTCACCCCTCCCCCCCTGGTGATATAAGGACTACTAAAAAAAAAAGGTCATGACTTCTTGCCCCCCCTCCCCCAATATTTTTCCCAAGTTGGCATCCCTGCTTGAATGCGGAATGAATGAATAAAATGTTTTCAGAATAAAATTGTCTATCTAGTCCCTTTCTCTGTCGCAAAGTCCATCCAAAATTTTCGCACTCACCCGATAGATCGGGTGAGAGGCTGACGGGGCTCTCTCGTATGCGAGTCGCGCCGTAGATTTACAACGAAAACTTGGGCACGTCGCCTTCGGCTCAAGGTCAAGGACGGATTCATTAGAGGACCCGGTTTATTTCCGGATTGCTCTTGAAGCGCGCGCGAACGCGCGTCCCCGTTTCGCCCGCTCCCTCGTTTATCTCCATTTAACGAGGTAAAGTTGATCTCTGCGGCCGAGAGATATCGTCGCGATGTTCGTTATCGACGCCGGAATACGCGCCTCGTTACGTGGCGCTCTCTGCACTGTAAATCTTACGGCAGCGTTAACGAGCAGCAAACTGCGTTATCCGCTTGCACACGCGCGTGACCGATCGCTGAATTTAATTAGCACTGTATAACCCGCGAATCGCGTCAATTAACTCAATTTCGGCGACACGCCAGCCCCGCGCCTGCAAACATCAATCCGCACGTCGCAATATCGCGAATGCTCATTTTTACATCTTCCTACGTGCGACAAGTCTGAGATCTTCATGCCGTCAAAGAATCCTATCTAGAGAAAATAACAGACGACACTTTAGAAAGTACCAAACAAAGAGCCTCGAAGTGCAACTCTCTTGTGCAACTATTTAATTTTCTTCTACTGTACGTGTCATCCTCTTATTTTCTACGCTATCACGTAGTTCTACGCATTTACAATTTCATAGTTATTTTTGGTAGTCATTTTTATCTTCCTTCTCTGGAGTCAATTTTACTGTATCTGTTTTTTTTCTTATACTTTCTCTCTCTCTCTCTCTCTCTCTCCGCGATAAGAATGTTACACGCGTACGTTCCAAACGCTCACCGAAGCGGGCGAAATCGAGCAGGAACATTCTTTTTTCTGCTAATGACGAAGCGTTTGCTTCCTCATTAGTATTGCCGGTGCACCGCG